AGCAGGAAGAAGGCCTAATGTCATTTCATAAGTTGCCCCAGGCTCTTTCCCAGAGTCTGTTTCCTCATGTCCCCCCTTCCTTCTAGACCTGCACTGTCCAATATGGCAGCCACCGGCCCCCAACTCCGTGAACTCAGATATGCTGTACATAGAGAACAGGCACCGGGATTTCAAAGACTTAGTATTTAAAAAAGCATGGAAAATAGCTTATGAATATTTTTATATTGATTACTGTTCAAATGATACTATTTTTTATATTGACATCGTTATCACGTTTTTATATAAATCATAAAGTTATTACTAAAATTAACTTCACTGATTTCTTTTTAAAACTCCTCTAGTAGCCACATTAAAATAGTAATTATATGTGACTCACGTTATACTTCTATTGGACAGTGTTGCTCTAGAGGCCCTGGAAGCCAAAATCATGTCGATTAGGTAGGTTCTTGCTTGAACTATAATTTCCAAATCATTTAAGAGTTAGAAAACATTAGGAAGAGCTTGCATATTTTTTCAAGGTACATGAGGAATGTTTACAGCCTGCTAAAGTACAAGACAAATCTGGGAGGTATTTCCCAGCTATGGAATTTATGTTTTACTTAACTTTATTTACATAATCTATGTCAGGGAGGGCAGAAAATGTTTCCAAAGTCAAGTGCCTTAAGTTCCAGACTTTGTCTTCTAACTATCCACCCCCTTATTCTGATCTATTTTCATCACCATGAAATGCCTCCTCTGAATGGGAGGCAAGGGCAGTTGTACTTGCACATAACTACCGGATTTAACAAAGTATGCTACACTGTCTGTCCTATGCAGGTATGGTGGGGGGGGGGGGGGGGGATGTGGCTCTCACTGGCTAATCAGACAGTGCTCCACTGCACAAAAGGTAGCACCTCTTCCACAGATACCACACTTTAGTTAAAACACCTTGGAAAAACAAGAGTAAAGTATATAATTTCAAACTGTACTGCTATGTTGCCTAGGTCTGAATCTACCTTAAAACATCAGACGTGGTTTTGGAGTCAAGAGGATGTGGAACCCGCTGAGAATTCCTGGCAGGGAGAAGTTCGTCCGTCTGTGCTACAGAAATGTGGTGATGCAGCGAAGCCTGGTAAAAGAACAAAGACAGTTACCTTCCTGGTCTAGTCAACCATGGGGCAGAAATAAGGCCACGTCTACCAGAAGGAGATGCTCTCTAAAGTCCTTTGTAGTCAGGGCTTCTATTCTAAGTCCATGAATTTAAGCTGCTCAGTAACCCCACTGTGATCCCAAATAACTCCATATCCTAGAGTAGAGGGAAAAAAAAGCCAGCTTTGCAAATGGACTGAAAATAATTAGTGTCCCTCTTCAGGTTTTTTTTTTTTTTTTGCGGTACGCGGGCCTCTCACTGTTGTGGCCTCTCCCGTGCGGAGCACAGGCTCCGGACGCGCAGGCTCAGCGGCCATGGCTCACGGGCCCAGCCGCTCCGCGGCATGTGGGATCCTCCCGGACCGGGGCACGAACCCGCGTCCCCTGCATCGGCAGGCGGACTCTCAACCACTGCACCACCAGGGAAGCCCCCTCTTCAGGTTTTAATCTGTAGAAGGCTCCACGGTCGGGATGTGGCTGACTGTGTCGTGGTGGTGGTCTTCTATCCTGATCCCCGTACTTCATAACCGGTGCTGTGCCCTTCTTACAGCATCACATCCAAAGGCACCTGATGTCTGCTGTCATCAGAATATGACAGATCCCTGGATCCAGCAGGTACCAGCACAGTCCATCTACTAGTTCCCCATCAATTTTTAACGTAATAGTTTTAGTATAGTTTTACTTTATTAATTGTAAAATATAAGAGGAGGCAATATATGGGCTTCCCTGGTGGCGCAGTGGTTGAGAGTCCGCCTGCCGATGCAGGGGACCACGGGTTCGTGCCCCGGTCCAGGAAGATCCCACATGCTGCGGCAGCGGCTGGGCCCGTGAGCCATGGCCGCTGAGCCTGCGCGTCCGGAGTCTGTGCTCCCCAACGGGAGAGACCACAACAGTGAGAGGCCCGCGTACCGCAAGCAAAAAAAAAAAAAAAAAAAAAAAAGGCAATATAAATGCTTGAGTCTCCTTACTTTTCGATTTTTCTGATTAATGAGCTGCTGCTCTGGCAGCTTCAAAAGGTGAGTTATGTATGTTTTGTTTTTCAGCACAACTATGAACCCATAGATTGATATCAATCTACTGCCACCATTGTTCATTTTAATGACTAAATGATCCCATCCCTGGGCAATGGGAACCGCTCCAAGTTGGCTACTGGGTCCTTTGATAAGACTCTAATAAATAATCTTTGGTAGCTTCCTTGCTTTTAGGCGTGACAGGATGTCTCAGATACACCTCGAATATTTCTTACTTTAGCCCTGGAATCAGTCATTTCCTCAAAGAACTCTGGTTCATTTGAATGATAAACAGTATTGAGAAACCATAATTGTGTCAATAAAGCTGTTTATTGCTGCTAGGCTATCATGGCTCCTGAGCCTTTTCAGTAAACAGAGCTAAAGAATGTGTATACTTTTTAGAGAGGAAAAGATAAATAAATCTAGGTTCAGACTAGTAATTCTAATTGAGAGATTGCAGGATTTTTATATAAATTCTTTGATTTCATAATACTATGTTAAAGTCATCAGGAAAAGAAAATTACTTCAGTTGTTTTTGGTTTTAACCTTCCAGCTTTGTGTGTGTGTGTATGTATGTGTACATGTGTGTATCTTAGTGGTTACTCTGTAGTGGGACTTCTGCATCCAAAGGGAAATGTGCAGGGTTGTGATATTTGGCCTTCCCACCGTACCAGGGCCATCTCCCCCACAGCTCTGCCAATACAGTGTGTTGTCAAACTGTTGGCTTTTTGCCAATCCATGGATTTCATTCTAGGTTCTCTCATCCAAACTGGAAGTGAGAGATCTTCTGTTTTGAACTCTTAATTTGGATTAAAAATTTCCAAGAAATATACAGGAAGGTGCTAGCGTAAACAAGGAACTTTTTAGCTGACTCCTGCCCTACTCTAAAAAGGAACGCTGACTGCCTGTGGCAGTGGAGGAAGAGGACAACTAGTCATCATCATTCCCCCCCCG